CGATTTGTGTTTACTATCATTCCATAAGGTTTACATTGCGCATATAGATTTTTGATAGTAGGTTTGGTTAGACGATTCGATTCAGGTTGTTTTTCTGTCGTGTCATACTTTTTGAAAACAAATTTTTACCAAGAGTTTTTGGTTTTAAATTTGTGATCTGTTCACCCCCTTCTAGATTGAAGCCTATCATCTAACACATTGAAGTCAACAACATTTGGTCACTTATCGAAATTCCTTAAGACAAGAAGAAAATCAATGTGAAGTGGGTATACAATGTGAAGTTGAATCCCAAAGGAGAAGTAACTTGAAACAAGGCAATACTTGTGGTGAAAGGATTTCTTCAAAAAGAAGGAATCGACTTCGACGAAGTTTTTACACATGTTGCTAAAATTGAAACAATCATATTGGTTATTGGTCTAGCAAACATGAATAATTGGCATATATATCAGATGGATTTGAAATGTGCATTCCTGAATGACCCCTTAGATGAAGAAGTTTATGTTGCACAAACAACTGGGTTTGTGAAGCAAGGCAAAAAAATTAAGGTATACAGACTGCATAAAGCCTTGTATGGATTTAAGCAAGCTCCAAGAGCTTAGAATAAGAAGATAGATAGCTTTCTAAGAGAGGGGGAATTTGTGAAGTGCACAAATGATCATGGAGAATATATAAGAAGAAGCAATAGTGAATTGCTTATATTATGTCTCTATGTCGATGACTTGTTGATAACAGGAAGTTACAAGAAAGAGATCGAAGACTTCAAACATGACTTCAGTAAGGAGTTTGAAGTGTCATATTTGGGAAATCTATCATACTTCCTTGGCATTGAATTATACAAGAGTAGTAGAGGTTTGATGATGCATCAAAGAAGATATGCAGGTGAAACACTCAAGAGATTTGAGATGCAAGATTGTAACCCAACTTCGACTCTAACTGAGCCCAGATTGGAATTGTCGAAAGACACAAATGAAGATGATATCGATCTAATGCAGTACAGAAGACTCTTTGGATCACTTAGATACCTTTGTCATACAAGGCCTGATCTAGCATATAGTGTAGGTATGGCGAGTAGATTCATGCAGAATCCAAAGGTATCACATCTAGTAGTGATGAAGAGGATACTAAGTAATCTGAAATGAACTCTCGACTATGGCATTTTTTCATATAGCTGACGAAGGAAAAGAATGTAAGTTAATGGGATACACCGACTCAAGTTAGTGTAGTTATATCGAGGATAGAAAATCTACAACTGGCTATATGTTTATGCTAGGTGGTGCACCAATTGCTTGGAGTTTGAGAAAAGAACCATTAGTAGCATTGTCATCGTATGACGCAGAGTATGTAGCTTCTTCTCTCTGTGGATGGTCAATTTGGTCGAAGAAATTATAGGAAAGGATCATGGAGCAATTACCATGAAAATCGACAACATGTATGCTATCAATTTGGCGAAGAATCCGATAGCACATGGACAAAGCAAGCACATCGAAATGAGATTCCATTATCTTCGAGAGCAAGTCGCAAAAGCGGAGTTAAACTTAGAACACTACAGAACCGAGAATCATATTGCATATATCATGATGAAAGACGTGCAAGTCGAAGTGTTTAATAAATTAAGGTCTATAATGAATGTAGATAGCTTAGACACAATGAATTAGATTGTATTTTTAATTTTAATTCTTTGTGTCGAATCAGGTTGCTCGACAAAGGCAAGAAAATGTCAAAATGCATATGTTTATCGAATTAGATTAGATGTCGAAATATTGACTTAACTTTATTTGTTTTGTTTATCTGAATTAGTTAGGTTAGTTACGGTTTTCTTGGTGTGCAAGTAAACTCAACCTATAAATAGGGAATAACCATATTATTGTATGTAAGTGAACAATTGCATATTGTAAAGTAAAGAGCAGAGAGAAACTCTGCAGATTCTTTAAGTTCTTCTTCTTCCTTCTCTCATTGAAACCCTAAACTTCTTTCTTCCCCAATTCAATTTTCTTTTCTTCCTTTCAATTATAATTGTGCAGTAATATAATCTTGCAATCAAGATTGGTTAATTCACTCGAGTGAAGAGTGAAGAACAAGAGGCATAATCAATCAGAAAGATTGATTCTTATTCATCAAAATTTTGTTCGAAATTCATCAAGTTTTGGTTAAATTCTTGAACAGGAATCAAGCGTATTTCCAACACTTATGACACATGTTAGCATTATCCTTATTTATATATGGGTAGATGGCAAGTGAGAAACAAATTACAACACTAATATGCTTTGAATAATAAAATCAATTCTCTTAAAAATATATTAAAAAAGACATCTCAACAAAGTCATATCGATAGTATTTAAAACATGAAAGCTACTTACAATAAACTATGCACTCTCGAAAAGGTATCTAAACACACTTTATGGAAAATTAGACAAATCTTTAGTTATGAAAATAAGTTGATAATAACAATTCAGTTCAAACACACTAAGACTTTGATGTATGAGACAAAGAATAATAACAATCAACCAAATAATTTTAGTGCAATAAAAATATAATTGACGAGAAAATAGAAAAAATTGTTTACTCAATTCGATCAAACTAGTCTACGCTTAAGGGAGAGAGAAACTCTCTAATTAAATATACTTAAAAATTATTTAAAGAGATTACAATATAAATTGCAAGAAAACAATATTTGGAGTTCAAGTTTTTCTAAATATCTTCAACTCTCAATATAAGAATCACGCAATTTTATGGTGTTTAAAGTATTTCACAAATTCCTTTGACAACCCTAGAAAACTTTTTTTTCTTTCTTCTCATTTGAGGTTTTAAGGCATATTACAACACTCTTCAATAGGAAATAATAAAATCATGAGGTGATACCTAGGGATATTAGGTATTCTATTAATGACATATGTTGACCTAGATCATCAATAGAAATAGCTAGAAGAAAAATTATGAGCATGTGTTGCTAACAAACATCCAAAAACTATTTTTTTATCTTATGGTCATGCCAAACTTAACTTTCGTGTTCTGGACAGTTTTACTAAAAAAGACGCTTGCCAAAACATATTATTAGGCTTTAGGAAGGAAAATTTTCTTGCTAGTAAAACTATTAAGGTAAAAAGTCAAAATCATACCACTAACACAATCCAAAGCTCTATCAAATCAAAGTACATACCACATATTCGACTACCTATCAATATATGATCTTGTAACACCTAAGATTGAGCTATGAAAGTCACAAAGTCTTTGAAAACCTCTCATAACTCGTTAGTAAACCAAGTAGTTGTCTCAAACATGTGAATTGGTTGGCACGTCCTTTGAGAAAAAAAGGTTATGGCAATATCCATGTAGGACCGAAGTAGAAAAAACTCATTTTTTGGATCCCTAATTGTGTAAGAAGATGCATTAACACAATAATCCTGACAGGTATCTTCAAGGACAATCCCCTTGATAAACCCTTTATCCAACTAATAACCAACCCGAGAAATTTCACCTCCAACACCGACTCCCAATGTCCCAAGAGAACAACTCTCGTGATGCTTACTGCCATCGCACGAAGGCCAAAAAATTTCAGTCTTACACATTCAATTCAAGGCTCAATCTTAGACTCGTTACTTGAATGATATCAATGGCTTTAGTTGCCTCATTAGAATCCCCTATGACGGTCCCATCATTAAGATATCAAGCATGAAGAGTGAGCTTGCGATTGTGTCTACCTTATGAATAAGAGGGTGTAACACAAGAAGAATAAAAAAGAAAGGTCCTAATGGATCTCCTTGTTGTACTCTAGTGGCTGACATAATATGTCAATCACCAAGATATAACTTTGTTGTTTGACCATAAAGAAACTCAACTCAAGAAAAATAGATGGACATCTTACCATTACCTCATGCAGTATCGAATGAGATCATGTTAAAAGCATTAGCGAAATCTACTATGAGCGTAGCCAAATAAAAGCCCTCATGTTGCATGTGCAACACTCTATTTGTAATGTGGAATATGGCATCAACACCACCTGATATACGTTGGCCTCTAAAAACTCATTGTGATATTTTACAACAACTTTACTGACATTTTTCATAAAAACTTTTGAGGTCAGACACCTCTAAATAGAACCAACAACAATAGCGCATATTTCACCATCAGACTTTAATAATGGTGGCAATGATCCAGTATCTTTCTCCAAGCCATATATTAACTACTAGGGTAAGTGCACAAAAAAGATATCTAGTCACATCGAAAACTTCTCCACACAATGCATATAATGTGCATTTCGTGTTCAACCTCCAAAATCTTCATTGTAACTCCATCGTAGTAGATAATTTCAGATGATCCTAACATTTTCACAGCAGATGCGAAATGCTCATCTATAACCTTTATGAAGGCATTATTTGATGTTATTTCTCTTCTTTTTTTATCTTCCTCCTTAATATGATATCCTCCATAAACTATATCTATCATCTTGACTCAAACTTTCTAACTTACTATCAACTAACTTGACAAACCGGTTTCTTTCCATGTAAAAACACAATCAAAAATAAAAAAATTTAATCATTAATTAATTAAATTGGACACCATAGAAAGACTACTTTAAACGAGACAAATGTAATTTGATATGAATGAACTTTAAAAGCTAGTTTTTTTCAGGTACATAGTGAATAAACCTTGTTCATTACGTTAACACAAATAATTTGATAATAACATTGGGATGTATCATCCCGCATTAGCTGTCATGACCCCACAATAGCTCTCAATTCACCAAAGACAAGTCAACCTGTATCTATTCTACTACTTCATTCTTACACGTTTCTAATATCTTTCCCCGACCATTTCCACCAATTCCAAAACCCAATTGTCCTTAACATCCATTATTCACTTCCTATATATATTTTCACAACTTGCATGCATTCCATTCCTCACAAAAACACTTCCCTTTCCCTTCAAGTTAACATTCCTCACCAAAAACACTTCTCTTTCCCTTCAAATTGACATGCTTACTTTTCCCTAGCTAATTGAAAATGGCAAGTAGAATACTTATTGGCCTTCTTATCATAGCCTTTTTTGTAGTATCCTCTGCTACTAATAATTTCAATCAATACTTTGACATAACATGGGGTGATGGCCGTGGCAAAATCCTCAACAACGGTCAACTTCTTACACTGTCTTTGGACAAAGCCTCTGGCTCTGGATTTCGTTCCAAAAATGAATACTTGTTTGGAAAAATCGACATGCAACTAAAGCTTGTGCCTGGTAACTCTGCTGGAACAGTCACAACATATTATGTAAATATCCTCTATCATTTCCTATATAGTACATGTGTTTTATTATTGAATCTTTATATAAAATGTTAGCATGAAATTAATGGAATGAACTATTTATTGCAGCTATCTTCTCTAGGAGATTCTCATGATGAAATAGATTTTGAATTCCTTGGTAACTTAAGTGGCGATCCTTATATTGTTCATACAAACATTTACACACAAGGGAAAGGAAACAAAGAACAACAGTTTTATTTGTGGTTTGATCCCACCAAGGACTTTCACACTTATTCTATTCTTTGGAATCCTCAAAGCATCATGTATATATATTATATTCTATTCTATTATAAAGTTATATATGAGATGATATACTACTTATCTACAAATTTTAATCTTTTTTGTGTGTAATATCATGTATTTCAGATTTTCTGTGGATGGGACTCCTCTAAGAGAATTCAAGAATTTGGAATCAAAAGGTATACCTTTTCCAAGAAGCCAAGCAATGAGTATATATTCAAGTCTTTGGGATGCTGATAATTGGGCCACAAGGGGAGGGCTGGTGAAAACAGATTGGGCCCAAGCCCCATTTACTGCTTCATATGGAGATTTCAACATCCAAGCTTGTGTTTGGACTTCTTCTTCAGGATCATCTTGCTCTCCCAAAACTCCATCTTCAAGTAATCAACCATGGATGAAGCAGTCTTTGGATTCAACAGGATATGCTAGGATTCAATGGGTGCAAAAGAATTACATGATTTACAATTATTGTACCGATACTAAACGATTTCCTCAAGGCCTCCCACCCGAATGCTCACTTGCATGAAGAAAAAAGATTATATATAATCAATCATATCATCATTATCATGTGGAAGAAAACTAAGATATATAGTATACTCGGTTGGTATTTTATAGTATAGTATATCATGCATTCAATTGTATACATGGAGAGCAAAATAAAACTCAAGTTCAATTACCAATAGAATTGGAGTAATTAGGATATATTACACCTAGGAATAGAAAGCTCAAAACTCAAGCTAGTCAACTTGCAGAGTTGGATAAACATGTGATCTATGAAGCACGGACACAATACGAGTATCAGATACGATACTTATCCGGTACGGGGATATGTTACAAATTTAAAAAGACAGGGATATGTTACAAATTTAAAAAGACTATATACGATAGTTTAAGATACACATACAAAAAGTTATACAAAAATCTATTGTATAAGTAACAGTAACACGTATTATAAGAATATTGAAAAAAAATATATTGAAAAGAATATTGGAATTAAATGAGATTTAAAGCTATGAATACTATAGGAATTGAAAACTTATGATTAATTAAAAGTCATGATTAATTTGAAATACATATTATAGGAATTGAAAAGATATATAAGTTATGATGATCAATAAAACTTATCATGATAAATTTTAAATAATAAGAATCTAAAAGTAATCATGCGAATTGGAACACTTCTTGAAAATGGTGCGAATTAGTAGGAAATTCAAAGGCACGTATTGGGAAGTATCGGAGGCATATCGCCGCCGTATCGAAATTTATTTAATTATTTTTTAAATAAATAATTTCGGATACTCCTTTGATATGTATCGGCGCCGTATTGGAGCGTATCAGCGTATGGGTATGTATCGGATACGATTTGGCAAAGATTTTGAAGTATCCGTGCTTCATAGCATGTGATTAAAGTAAGACATGAAGCATAGATCAATAGTGGACATCAACATGACGCTAATACATGTGTTAATATTTGATTTGTTTTCAAATAATCAACGTATCCATGTCATTCAGGGTCGTGTCTAGTATTCGCGTTTATGTTTCAAAGCTTTTCGCCATCTACCATGGACAGTACTACTCTACTCGACATATACATCACAAACAGCTAAAAATCGTAAGGCCACCAACCATATCCAGCAAACATTCAACCAATTAGATTTGAAATGAACACAACCAGAACATATAGATTTTCTTGTGCCTAAGTAGATCATTTTCATTTTATAATCAATGCATGATATAGATCACGTCTAAAAGGGACAGATATAGAATAAATAAAGCATATTATAAGCAGTCCTGTTAAGACAGCTAAGTTCATAGCTGTATAGGGACATTGAGTGTAGGGGCGCGAGTTCAAACCCGCAACATTCACTTGTTCATTTTTAATATGGTGGGGGTGGACTCCAGCCCCTAGGCTACTTAACAAAAAAAAAGCATATTACAAGCATTCTCAATATCAAATAAAAAATATTTTGAAAGAAACTTCTCAGTATAAAATATGCATCTTATTACAAATGAGGTTTGAAATATACCTATGCATCTTTAAAAGAGAGAACACTAGATTTAGAACAAGTCCAGATCATATGATCTTCCGGTGCATGAGGATGAATATTATTATACTCGAATTCATCTAAAAGTTTGGGAAAAACATGAAACAAATAAGAAGAAATATGCCAACAAACGACCCCAAACAAGAAGAAAAAAAACAAAGTTATAGTCAAATGACAATGAAAACTGTCAGGAATATCCATAAGACTTACCACAGGCTGAGAAGGATCATCCCCAACGGCCATTTAGAACTATCTGCAATAATCGATAAGCAATCCTTTAAGACAAGCTAAATACTAGATTTAACATTTAGTGACATAATTTGGTCTTGTGAGAACTCTAGCTAGCAATGGAGATCAAATATAACAAGAACTTAACAAAACTTACCAAATTGACTAGTCTTCAATAATAGTTAATGTTTTTTTAGCAGCTGGACTCTACCAGGCATAGATAACAATTGACTAGTCTTCAATAATACTTAATGTTTTTTAGAAACAACCAAATTTCAAATGCAGAAGAAAATTTAATATTTCCAAACATCATTATTTAACTTAGAAATTTGATGATAAGAATATAATTTTTTTTAATCGGTTTTATCATACTACAGTTGAGGTAATTGAGACACTCGTCCCAATTCTTTTCCTTTATCATCACTATAATTATGAGGAGTACGCATTGAAATGACACTCTTCCATATAAGTTTGGCATACTCCGGATGATCAACAAAAGGATTCCGATTATGTTGATAAAATTTGCATATCCTTTCATTTCTCAGTTTCTCTTCCCTTGAAGGTGGATCGACTTCATTCCATTCTAATAATGTGGAAAGCAGTCCCATCTCTCTGTTTTCTGCAGTAACCATCTAAATTTTCAATTTAGGTATGACATGATCCAAATATTATTGGTGAGTGCGAACTTTAACAGTTTAACCTACCAACATCTGGAGTGTCCGAAAGGCGAAGAGCAGGACTTCCCCCTGGTTGTTGAAACCCATAACAGACTGCCATGTACATTAATGCTCTTGCAATATCTCCCCTAACCTGAGACATTAGATCAAGCATGATCAGCAATCAGTTATATGAAATTGAAAATGAGAATCAAAAACATAAATGAATGAAAGAAATGTGACCTGCTTAGGTGGTGCCCAGATCCTCTTGTCTGCTTCAGTGTCCGAAGCAGCTTCTTTGTTGGCTGGCCTCAAACATTTGGGCGAGCTAGTTATGCATTCCCCATAGTACTTGTTTCCCCTTGATGAATTCACTAAGAGAAGCTTGTAATATCAACCAAAATTGTAATTTTAGTAAAATATTTGTGCAGTGTTTCCCCTTACCATTAACGTCAGCAGGGCGAATGTTTTGTAAATCAGTCAAAGATGGAACAGTTGCCAACCCATAAGAACGAGGCCAAAGATGCTCCCCTGTAAAATAAATTCCATAAATAAGTGAATTTCTAATAAATATTCATTTAAGTTCAGAAACTATAATAGACAGATCAACAGCTTCAAACAAGTTCAAATGCAGTATACACTAGTTCAACACAAATCTTTCTACTTCGGCATTACCTAAAACGGAACTTCATAAAATACATGTTTATTTCTCATCAGACATACTTGCATTTTTATCCATTTGTTACATATAACAATTACCAACTGACAAAATATGCTACAAAAGAAGGCCAAGATAACTTACTATTCCATCCTTGTGGTTTTCCAGATAACCCTTTCGGAACAACTCTCAGAGAGTATATTTCGACTCTGCATATTATAAATCGTCAAGCATATAAAAACCAGCTAACATTATGCGAGAAACAAAAAGAATCACTCAATAGAAACTGTAAATCAAATAAACAAAAAAGAAAGACATCAAGATAAGTACAATACATACATTCCCGATGAAGCTTCCGGATTATCAATATCAGCAGCATCTAGAATTTTGAGAGCATCCCACACCTGTTACACGTCAATCCTTATCTAATCAAACAAGTGGTAGAACAATTTATTAAATCAAAACAGAGGATTGAATGACCTCTTGGTAGGACAATGAATGATGCGGAGCAATGATACTATTCAATTTTCTCTTGAGTGCTTCACCTTTTAACCTCAAATGCTTCACAGGGGAATAGTAATTGGTAATGTCCTCACAGGCATAAGTATACGGAGCTAAGTATTCAGAGGCCACGGCAACTGTATTAAGAGATAATAACAAGTAACAGGAAACAAGTCTAGAAAACCATTTCCACGAGTCCCTAAAAAAAAGTAATAGCCGTTAGCTTTGCAATCAAAACAAAACAAACAAAAATTGAGAGCTTTGCTCACTTAATACATCAATAATACAACAATTAGGAATCGGAGGTTTTGAACGGCTTGCAATGGTACTGACCTGACGTCAATGCTGTTAGAAACGGGAATCGGAGGTTTTGAACGGCTTGCAAAGGCAGTCCAACGACGGCGCCGCAATGTTGATGTTGCGTTTATGAGATTGAGATTGCGATTTCGAAGTTTAATTGCTCCGTTTCCTGGTCGATTTGAATAAAGTGCGGCAAGTATTGGGTCGCTTGTGGTGATCGTCCTCATGCTTTCAGAAAATTGCTACTACCAATGTTCAAGCACCACATTATCGGCTTCGGTTATATTGGAGAATAAAAATATTGCTTATAATAAAGTACATCTCAAAAAATCTTGCTAATTTAGTAAATCGGGTGGAGAAGGATATCTTCGTCTTTTATATTACCTCTGGTTTTATTTATTAAAAAAAATTAAAATTTATTTAATAATTAATATATTTTGTCTAGATATATTATTTATTTAATGAATTTAAAAAATAAACTAAATAGAAATTAATCTAAAAGATAAATTAAATAGAATTAGAGGAAGTATAAAATAACTTTCAAATTGATAAAACTTCATACTATCTTTGTTTGGATTTTATAAAATAAATTTAGGAAAATAGAGAGAAACATGAAGTAGAACGAAGTGGAATGGAGAGTGAGGTAGAATGGAAATTTCATTTTATTATATGAAAATTTTAAGATACAACAAGACAAACTCTTCATTCTGTTTAAATTGGAGGGGAAGACATATGATGGTAAGTGATGAAATGGAATTCATACCACTTCATTCCGTTATGCTCTATTCGATTTTAACTTATCTAAATTGTTATGGGTCAACCACATAGATCCCGACCGATCACCATGGAGGAACTACAATCCTCCCGTAATTTTCTTAGCACACAAGAACCATCCTAATAGCTAGCACATGAGATATAAGTCTTAAGTGCATCCAACAACTCATCACAATTCATTTATAACTAATAGTAAGTTAGTTATTTTATGTCTACTATATATAAAGAATGCATCAATTCAGATACTATATTTCAAACTCAATCTTAATTCACTCTTCTTTCTCACATACTGACTTGAGTGTTGGAGTGCTAACCTTGCAGGTCAACCCCTTCTCTACCACATCGTAAGCTCAGATCCTCCATCACTTTCGATCCCCACTTTATTTCTAGTTCCAGTGCAGAACAATGTCATCGTTTGTGGGAATCGAGTTCTGATTCTTCCATTTTTCACGATTTCACATTCCCTCTCTAATTCATCAGTTTGTAATCTCTCAGGTCACTAAATCAAGAGCATTCACAATCGAACACTAAGATTTGTAATCTCTCAGGTCACTAAATTAAGAGCATTTAGAATCGAACACTAAGATTTGTAATCTCTTTGGTCATTAAATCAAGAGCATTCATAATCGAACACTAAGATTTGTCGCATTCAATCCAATCAAGCATCATTTCAACTTTGATTCATCGAATTTCCAAATCTCTAATTCCTACATTTCAAAGTGATGTTTGGATTCAAAGTTACTCGTTTCACTGCTGCTCAAGAAGCTATTGTTGTTGCTTCAGCTCAAATAGTGATCAATCAACCACCTATACCTCCACTTCCTCAACAAAAAGTTGTAAATCCATAAGCATAGGTTATGTGGCATCCATATCTAGTCCAGATTCCTGAGGTAGCTGGATTTATCCAATTTCCTCTAGTTGAACCTCAAATTCTACCTCATGTCATGTAACTTGAAGTCTTACCTGGTTTCCAATTGTTGCGAGCAAACCTTGTATTTCAAGGCGCTAACGAGTTATTGAACAATGCGCACAATATCACTTAGGAGCAGAACTCGCAAGTAATAAAAGAAAGATTATTGTGGCTTGAAGAAAGCCTCTATAACGATGGTGCACGAGGGAACATTGTTCAAGAAGTTGTATCAAGGAGAACTCACATTGTTTTCCCTGAGCCAATAACTACAAAGAAAGACGAAACTCCCAAGTCATGAAATCAACATAGAAGCAAGAAACATCAAAATCCTCCCCGAAGCCCTGAGGGAGACTGAGGCAGCCACGCTTCTCCCTCATATTAGGTAGAAACCAGTTATTGAGGTTCAACAGAAGCATCCGTTATGCATTGGGATTTTGGAAAGCGAAATACCAAAATCCATGGAGAAGCCACCAAATCTAGGTGATAATTATGGAAAAGGAAATCCATACAAACATGTGTAACTCATAAATAACCAACTAGACTACTTAAGTTCTAACGAGGCTTCCAAATACAAGTTATTTGCCTTAACCCTGGTTGGGACGATCAGACTATGGTTTAATGATCTGTTGGACGAGAGCATTGAATCATGAACTAATTTTTGTAAAGGGTTCTCCACACACTTTATCGCGCGAAAGAGACAGTCGATCTTATATCAGCCTTGAACAGTATTATTCAAGGGAAGAAGAAAAATATGTGGTCTTATATTAACCAATTTACGCAAGTTGTTGTTGAAGTTAAAGATGTCGAAGAAGGTCTTAAGTGTTGGATCTTCGAAAATGCTCTTCTGCGCTACCATCCCTTCACGTTGAAGATAGGAAAGAAAAAGCTATGAACAACCCAAAAGATGATGAGTATGGCTCAGTCTTACATGATCTTAGAAGAGAGGCTAAACACACGCTTCGAAAACCACATCTCTGGTGACACCAACTCTAGCCGACCGACAGGGAAGGAACCCCACCAACAGAAGGATAGCTATAACCGAGGTATGCAGGGCTGGTACGAGAAGTGCATGTTGTAGCACCCCAAAATTTGCCCTTTTATTTTGACCGTAACTGGCTTATGTTTCATTCATTTGCATTTTTCATTTTTGTATATCATGGCATTGGTTCTTGAGACATGGGACCAAGGTGTTTCTATGGCTCAAGGTTCTTTTCTATTGCAAGGTTTATTGCAGCAAGCATCAGAGGCTTCGGCATCTATTTTGCCCAACAATCGAGTGCCCAATTTTATTGTTTCAGCATGTTATTTTTAGCGCAGGAGACAGGTCACGGGTTATCTCAGGAATTTTCACAGATACAATATCAAAAGGCAAGTTTCAGAGGCTTAACGTGGCTCAGAACGGGTGGAAACAGACAATTATGCAAGTTTTCCTCCAAATGGCGCAATTTTTTCAAATTTGTTAAGGGTTAATCGATTAACCAATTTGCACTAGCAAATGGTTAATCGATTAACCCAAGTACATTTTGCCCAGATACGTGCATTTTTAATGCTGCCACTTTTGGGGTCCATTTTGATCATTTGTGAATTGGTTTTTGCATCAGTAGAAGGATCTAGAATCACTCCAATTTTTTATTTATTCTCAAAACCAATCCAATTTCCCTCCAAATTTCAATTCCTAATCTCATTCCAATTTTCAAACCTCATTCCAAACCACAATTTCACTCCTAACCAGAAGCTTATTTAAGCTAATCCACTCTAAACCTCACCATAATTGAGAATTCACACTCATTCACCCTTCATTTTTCAGAATTTGCTCTCAAATTCTCTCAACTTTTTCTCAATTCTCTTACACTCCAAAACTCCATTAGAGCTCTTTCACTTAAATTCTTTTATTCTTCATTGGAATCCTTGAATTCTAGAGCTTAACCTCCATCATTCATCTCCATCAACTTCAATTCATCATTTGATTTTCGTTTGGATCTGGATCTGGTTTTGGAAGCAATCTTTTAAGTGATTCTTGGTTCAACTTTTGCTTATTTGGCTCATTCTTCACTTCTCTTTCAAGAAATCTCTTGGATCTTGAAGTTTTCTTGGGTTTCTAGCTTAGATCTATCATTTGTAGTATAACAACACTTACCAAAGCAATTCTCAGCTTTGAAGGTTGGTTGATTCTATATCCATTTCTGTTTTGAACTTATTTGGATAATCAAAATGTAGATCCTAAATTTTAATTTATTTTGATGATTTGATCTATGTGATTTGTGATCTTAATGCTTGGATAAGTTTGATTGATGTTTGATCACTGATTTTTTGTGTTAAATTCGTGCATAATTGATTGCATGATCATTTGGATGATTGCATAATTGATTAATTGTTGGAAGTGCTTTTAAATTGTTGATTTTCTGTTTTTGATGCAGTGTTAATCAATTAACTAGTTGCAGTACAAAACTGGTTAATCGATTAACCAGTGTATTTTCAGTCAATTTCAAGTGGTTAATCGATTAACCACATTTGCGCTGCAAATGGTTAATCGATTAACACTGGACCAGAATGTGATTTTTGGTTGTTTTCAAGCATCTTTTGATTTCTTTCCACCTCTAACCTTCATGGATTGATATGATGCATTTGTGTGGACTGTTTTTAACATGGTTCATCATACTTGATTGTTTGATTGCGATTCTTTGACGCGCGACTTTTGGTTTTTGTTGATAAATGCTTGAGATGTCTATGTTGTTGCTTGATGTGATGATCGTGTGTTTTGCTCATTTGTATCATGTTAATTGTTGATTAATGATGTTTATCTTGTTGGACCTGTGATACCTGTTCGTATTTGCTTCTGATTCTGTTTGTCGCATGATCGTTTGAATTATTTAATTGATGTGAAAAGCATGTTGTTCTTATTTGAATACTTAATGATGCAACCTTGTTGAACATTTGTGTTTAATTGTTAATACATGTCCATCTTTGCTTGATACTTGTGCATGATTGATTATTGTTCATGTTGATTGTGTTGAAGCATGCATGTTGCCCTGATTTCTACAACTTTTTTATTCATAAAATGCATGTTGTTGCATGTTATTCTTGCTTGTTGTCTGCCTTTTACATCTGCTTTTTGTAATGGATTAGTAGTTGTTAAATGTTGTTGTGTTGTCTTGCTGCTTTTTATAGCTATTCTGAGTTAGAAGCGTTGTAGTAACTGCTATTTTTTTATTATTTTCTCTTGTTTTTGGCTTTTTCTTGCATGCTCCCTTAAGGCTTCCTAGTCCAACTTAATTTCCGATTAAGCTTAGAGTAGGATAAATATTAGGACTTTATTCCATACATGACAACAAGTAGGTTAGTTCCTTTTAACCTCAACCTTAGGTCCATCTTTTACATGCTAACATTAGGATAGAATTTCCTTTCGCATCCCGGCCTTAGGGTCACTTTGCATGACAACGATAGGACCTAGTTTCCCTTAGACCTTTTGTGCGTCTTTCTTCTCATCTCAAAATAATTCTAACACACTTAATAAAGATGATGAACATTGTGTGCCACGAGTCT